CTGTGATTCCCACCAGGTCATACCCTCCTATTCCCAGGAGAGCTTCAAGCTCTTCCTGCTTATTACCCATGCTCCTAGCATTGGTGTACATGCACCTCAACTCCTTCCCACCGCTTCCCTTCCTTGGAGTTCCCAGCCTCCTCCTTCCTCCCATCCTCCCTGATACCTGGCCCCTCTCTGTAGGAGTCCTGTCAGTCCCTGCAGTATCTCTAAAACACTGCTCCCAGAGCCCTGATCCTCTCCCCACACTTGTCCAGTGCAGACACATTCCTGGGGGGCCTGACCCCCCCCCGGCTCAATTTAAAGTCTTCTGGACGATCATCTCCAAAGGACATTTTCCCCATCCTTGCGAGGTGCATCCTGTCCCTTGCCAGAAGCCCATTGGCAAGAAACTGAGTGCTGTGGTTGAGGAACCCAAAGCGTTCCTTCTGGCACCACACCCTAAGCCAGTCGTTCACTTCGGAGACCCTCCTGTCCCTTCCTGGCCCAAATCCCCGGACAGACAAGATTGACGAGAAGGCCACTTGGGCCTTCAGCTCCCTGAGTTTCTTCCCCAAGGCCTCAAAGTCCCTGGTGGTCCCAACCACACCCTGCCTGGCACCCATTTGTGCCCACATGGATCACCAGGAGCGGCTGGTGACCCCCGGAGCGAACAAGATGCTCCACTCTGTCCTTCACATGCCGGATGCGTGCGCCCGGCAGGCAGCTAACCTCCCTTGTCTCCAGGTTGGGGTGGCACACCGCCAGCTCAGTGCCCCTCAGCAGGGAGTCCCCAACAACAATCACCTGCCGCTGTACCTTCCTGGTGCTGGTGGGCAGCCGTGCCCTGGCCCTCGCCTCTCCCGCAGCAGGCCCCTTGCCGCCTGATGTCTCAGGCTGGGGGTCCTGCTGGTCCCCCGAGGCCTCATCAGCCCCAGCCTCCCCAGGTGGAGAGAACCTGTTTCCCAGCTCCAGATTGGTGCCAGGAGGAGGAGGAGGCCGTGTTGGCCTCCTCCTCCTGTGGGTGACATACCTCCATGTCTCCACAGCTGCTCCTCCCGTGGCCTCTCCTTCAACCCTCTGTCCAGGGGAGACCTGGAGAGCTCTCTCGGCCCTCAGGCACCTCACCTCCTCCTCTAGCAGGGTCACCATCTTGCACCGAGGGCAAGTGCATCCCTGCCTCTCCTGGGGGAGAAGGGCGAACATGTCGCAGCTGTCGCAGCAGCAGCAACACCCGTGACTGCCGCCGAGGCCGTCTCCTGGTCTGCCATCAGTATCCCTTCCGAGACCTTACCTTGGTCCCCTGTCTTGTCTGTCCTGCAGTTCCTCTCACTTGCCCAGTTCTCCCAGACAAAAACCCACTCGCACACACAAGGATAAAATAAACTTAAATTTATAAAATAAACTTAAATTTAAATTGGAGGAAAAACAAAGCAAAGTACAGCACAAAAAACCCCCAAACCTCTGTGTCCCAGGGAAGGGAGTCCCCAGACAGCCTGGGCCGCAGCCAAGGGACGCAGTCAAGGGATGTCACCCTTAACACGTTGCCGTTGGCGCCGCCTCCATTGGCACTGCCAATGGCTGAGCGCAGCCTTATCAGTCCCTCAGGCCAGTGGCCCCGCCTGCCTGCTCCCTCCTGGCCCCTCTGGCCTCTCTGGCCCCGCCCCCTTTCTCTCCGCTGCTCCTGGCCCTCTGCTCCCCCACCCAGCTCCTCCCTCGCCTTCGCCAGTCCCCTAGCCACTCAGCCCTCTCTCCCAGCCTCTGCCTCTGCTGCTCTGCTGCTCTGCCAAGAGGCCGGAGCCAAGATCTAGTAGTGCTGCTCTACTAGACATCTACACATTTGTTCCGATATTAAGATTTTACAGTCTTAGGTCTGATTTGTCTGCATGTACATATGTGTGAGCATATATGTATTCATATATATTATTAGTAATACTTTCAAGACCAGCTCAGCGTATCTCTGATCATTACTGTGTGGCTATATGTTTGCTGTTGCTGCTGTTTTGTGTTTCATTTGCTTTGTTTTTTCTGTTTATTTTGTATATGCCTCTGTGGTATTCTCAGTATTCTTTCACTGATGTTTGATTTTATTGAAAGATTTTGTAAATCAAATAAAATTTATAAATTTTAAAAAGTCTAGTTGTCTGAAACTGAGAATTTCTCTAGTTTTAAGTTTGTTTCATTCTAAACTATGAGAATTTTTAAACATTAAAGTCATAAACTTAGCACACTTCACCGAATATATGCAATTTTATATGCAAGCAATTTTCCTAATGCAATGCAAATCAGAATATTATTTATGCTGATATATGAATTTTTGGGTTAGAGAATTCTACTGCAAATTCAGAAACATGCTAACTGCAAAGTATAGGTCAGATTCCATTCGCATAGTGTGTAATTAGTTCAAAAGAGTAAAATTAGGTATCTTAACAAATTTCTCCCCTTCCCTAACCAGCATCATGCATTATTATGCTTGCAACGTATAAGTCAGTTCATATACTTTAACTCAAATGGGAAGATATGAAAAGAGGGAGAAACAACTAAAAAGCACCAGCATTAGAGAGGTGTAGAACTGTCCTCTGGGAGTTTTTCCTAGTACTGCAGAAAAAAGGAAATTGAATAAACCTTAAGCATGAAAGAGAACACCCCCATTGACTTAATCCAGACTGATAGTTCCATATGAAAGTCATGCCACTTCCCCTTCTAGAAAACAAAGATGGGAAGTAAGTGATACTTCCTTCTGCCCAGTTCTTTGTTTCCAGAATTTAGCAGCACTCTAGTAAAAATATATAGTTACAGCTTCTAGTGCTATCAAGTGGACAATGAGAACAGCAGTTTGTTTCGGGCGAGGGAAGTCAATCTTCTAAGCTGTCTGTCCAGTGATTACTTTACATTTCCTAGGCTAAAATGAGAAGGACGGGAATTCACTTGGTGCAGCAATGCAATTACACATGACCTTGTTCTATATCCAGTTCAGTGTCAAAAGAACATTTCTTACAATGCATCTGAATTCCCATTCTGCCCTACTGTCTGTAAATCTTTCCAGATAGTTCCTCCCTCTTCAGTCATGAGTCAGGGCAAAATTCTATCTTGCCTGTCCCAAGTGACTGAGGTTTCTTACTCTTCTGTTCCAGATTCAAAGACCCGAGCTGACCTTTCCCTGCCCCACCAGCCAACCACAACCTGAAAAACATGTAACATACAGCAGTGACTTCAGTCACCCCAGTGTGTATTGAGGAGAACAAAACTAGAGCGGTAGGATGCCTTTATGAGTCTTCCCCTCCTCTGTTGGAGATAAGGAGGGACTTGTGGAAATGTTCCATATGAGGCAGAGCCTTCAGACAGGACTGGCCTTGTTCCATCAGCAACAGAGACATCAGGCAAGGAGTTTACATGTAGTTCTGAGGTGGACACCCTGCCTTTGTGGGTCTCACATCTGCTACCTCCCAACTGGCAAATAACTGTATCCAGTCAAATGGATGCTGGGTGAACTTGTCTCCACTGCAAATAGGGAAAGGCAGGTGTGCAGCCAGGTGATTGACACCCTCCTCTGAAAAGACTGACATTTGTAGCTGGGCAGCTGGTACGGGTGGGAAGCTGCTCCTAGACAGCTCACTGTGGGCTGCACCCTGCCATGAAAAGGGTCACTGATTTGTCACAAGGACTACAGCCAAGGGGTGGGTTTTCATAGAATCATAGAACAGTAGAGTTGGAAGGGGCCATGTAGGCCATCGGGTCCAACCCCCTGCTGTTGCAGGACACCAAGTTACACCATCCCACTCAGATGGCTGCCCAGTTTCTATCTAAATCATGCTTCCAGTAGGAGTGAGAAGGTAGTCATGTCTGGTAAACCATCTCCCACCACTGTCTCATGAGCCCTGTGTAGCATTATCAGCAAAGCCCTGCACATCTGCTTTGTCATCCTGGAATGTGACCAAGATACAGAGTTATGTTAAATCCCTGATGATTCAGAAGCTACTACTAATCTCAGGATTTGAACAGATTACAAGAACCTGTTATTTTTACTTTTCATCTTAGGTGCTGATGCTAAACATGCTTACCAGAGGATAGTCTCCCTGAATTCAGCAGGACTTCCTTCCAACTAAGCATGCTTAGGAGTGGCTGTAATCTTCTTTCTGGAACTGACTTCTGTTGATGACAAGATAAACTGAGCTAGTGAGACCACTGCAGTGACCCCATCGTACGGCATTTCTCATATTCTAAAGCTCCAGCTAAAGCTTCTCCAGAGTCTATTTACAGTGCAATGGTTCACTGATAGGAAAAATGAATGCTCAGCATTTGATATGATGTTTTCTACAAAGTGTAGCAAAGTTCCACTTCATTTGGGAGCTGACAGATCTCATACTGCACATTCGCAATCATAGCAGTGTTTTGAAAACAAACCAGATAATTTTGGTTTTGCTATAACAGAAAGGTCAGCTCTCACTGTACCATAAAAACCAACAGCACAACTTTAGAATTTAAATACAGACAGACAATCAATTGCTTCAGTTTATCACTCTGAAATCTACAGTGTCAGAGTAGGATATGAAATAAAGCACTTCAGAAAATGCTGGATGTATTTTTCCCCTGGTTCAGTTGACCAGTTTAAATAGTTTTATGCAGTCTGAAAATTACAATGAGTTTTGGTTCATCTTATCCGCATCTGCTGCATGCCAATGTCAATATAAAAGTGTTATTTTTCTTGGAGAATGTCACTGTCAATGAAATGCATCAATAACTGTAATTCTCAGTTGAAAGTTGCGACTCCACTTCCAGAATATTGAATGCGAAAAGGCTGTCGTAGTGTTACGATAAAGGCTACATTATCCAAACACAGCAGACAATGCTACGATTCACTCCCTTTCAACTCTCTGATGCCAAATGTAGTCAAGCTTTGTTCACTTGGTTTTATAAACGATTGAAGGGGGCAAACAAAATCAAGCTATTTCATCATATAGGGAAATATGACATGTTCCAGTTGTGCTACAATAGTGCTTCACCTGTTCTATTAACAGTTGTCAGTTATGGAAATATTGCTGTACCTTATTTTCACAGCCTCTTCCGCCATATCCTCTTCTACAAGCGCAAACGTTTGGCTTGATACATCTGCCCCCAAACTGGCATTTAGGCTCACAAAGAGCTGGAAAAAGAAAAAAGAAGCCTGTTATTATAGAGAACGTAGGGCTATGCTGACTTGAGCCAAAAGAAGTTGTAGGCCAAAACATTTGAAAGGTCACCTGTTATAGATGACGATGATGGTGTTGGTGACATAAATATTATTTCTTAAAACAAACAAACAGAAACACCAAACCTGAGATGAACTGAAAGATTCAGTGACAGAGTTTTGTCTATAAACAAAAAATTCTAACTCTTGTTGGGTTCAAATTTGACTTTTCAAAAAACCACACCCTTCTTTCTATCTGCAAAACCCATGGCATTTTGTCCCCACTCTTAGCCACATTCTCATGACCTGAACCAGGAAGGTGAAAGCCAACGTCCCATGCCAAACTCGGTCTGGATCAGTTGTCAGCTTTTCACCACATCTTCCTCAGATTTTTGAACAGTCGAGATCGAATGCTGAAAGCCAATTCATGCAGCTTTAAGCCACTGCCGTTGGCTGTTGTGTTATCAGTGCAGCCGGTGACAGCGCAGCCCTCACGTTGGCCAGCCTGCCTTGAAAAGTACAGCTCCACAGGCTTGAAAGAGTTGTGCTCAGCTGTACCAGGAAGGTTCCTGCTACGCTCCAGGAATCTACTCCTGCACACAGTTTGCATAGTCCACCTGCATAAATACCACAGTGACAGAAGGGTGAATGCTTACAAGATTGTGCTCCTGTCCTGAGCATCCAATACCTGCACCCTGCAATTTTCTCCTTCATGGTAAAGGAGGGATGGGCGTCACGTGCACTTGTGCTCCCCACAAGACGCTGTTCACATGAGTAGATCCGTTGCACAGGCAGTTAGTTATTTACAGAAGCTATTTAAGTGTGTGGTGACATCTAAGTGAGTAATGATTTTGAACCTGTTAGAACGTCTTCTTAAGGGGAGAGAAAACTAGTTTCCAAAGGGAGGCACCTCTATCCTGAAAATGCTTCAGGGGCCACTGTGGCACGGTGGCTTTGCCCTTGCCCTGTCATCCAATGAGCTAAGGGCTAGAAGCAGAAAAGTGTCAGTTTCTTTGCTATGAGGCAAATATTACGGGGGTCGAGTTTCATTGGCGAATGGGTTTGCACTGACCTTTGCAGTTCTACAACAACAACAGAAGTGCTTTTCAATTCACTTGCCTTGAAATGAGACAACAGCAATGAATGGCATTCATACAATATATATTTAAAATGGACAGGTGTCTCTATTGGAGGAAAAGAAGGAAAGCCTGTTATTATAGATTGCACGTGGGAAAGTTGGAGCGATGCTGACTTGAGCTGGTAGAAGGCCAAAACTCTGGAGAGCCAGAAGTGGCCTTCCACTGTTAGAGATGACGCTGATGATGACTAAGAGGTCTGGTTTGCTCACTGGGATCAGCTGCCCTGAGAACAAGCCACCGTGAGCGGGGTCTTGGGTGGCCAGCCCACAATGGTGCTGACAGGAACAGCATGTGGAGACCCTTTCCCAACGTACTCCTCCAGCCCACTCCTTGCACGTATCCCAGGGGCCTCTGTGGCACATTTCCTCTGCATCCCTGCTTGATGAGATGCTTATTATTTATATTTTTAATTTCATTTCATCTCTGTACTGCCCCATAGCCAAAACATTCTGGGGAGTTTACAACAGTCCTTAAAGACAAGACAATGAAATACAATAAAAACATTATACAATCACGGAAACATAAAAAAAAATAAAATAGCTAAAACATTGGGTAGAGCATGACCTGTAAAAGAGGAAAACCCCTTTCTTGTCTTGTGAATCACAGAGGTTAACATACACGTGCCATATCTTCAGAGTGAAGAGGGGACTTACCTTACTCAGTTTTTAGAATGAAGTGAGATCCTTATTTCCTTTCTTCAGTGCCTTGCCATGCCCTCCCGCCACACCTTCTTTTCTCTCCTTGCAGCCTGCTGCTTTTGCAGGTACAGCTAAGCGTGTATGCACGATTCGCTTACCACTGGATGAACATACACACCCCCAGTCTGGGACCAGGGCAATTCAGGAGGAGACAGGAAAGCTTAAAAGCCAAAGTGAGGCTTGTGCACTGCCCCAGAGGTAAACCAATTGCACCCGCACGCTCAGCTGTGCTAACTTGGATTGTAAATGGACAAAACCTGTTGCTATCAAATGACATGCCCTGGAGAAGGAAGGGCAGGTGGCACTGTGAGGAGCAAAATGTGGCTTCACCCAAATTCCTTTAATATAAAAATCTAAAACCTTTTCAATGGCATTTTGACACACCCTGTTGTTTCTCTTTGACCCACGTGTCTCACTGGCCAGTTATGCTGTCAGGGGCACAACTCATGTCAAGCAATTGCCACACAATTGCCTTGGCTCAGGAATCCCCATTTTGTCTGGAATTGTTAGCTATCTGGGAAGATTTTGTGGTGGTTTCTCAATATTACAATGGATTCCCATAGGAGGTAGGCCTGGTACTGACACCATTTTTTAAAACCAGGTTAAGACTTTTTTAGTTGTCCTGGTGTTTTAAATGACTGCTTTGCAATTTATGATTTCATTACATAAATGCATACAGACATGCATTGAAAACAGAGCAAAGTGCATTTGCAGCTCCTAGAAACTCTGTATTCTGATGGAAAAAGAAGCATCCCATTCTTTTTACCCTGGGCTATTGAACCTCAGGTCCATGGAAGAAATCTGACCCCCTGGGATCCCATCCAGCACTCAGGACTTTCTATCATGGTCATGCTCCTCGCCTGGCCCTACCCATTTCCACTGTCTCAGCCCCCAGGTGTTTGGACGTTTTCTTGAAATGCCTCTTCTGTGGTTCAGTTACTTGCAGCAGGCTCTAAACTAACTTTTGGTGGTATGCCTGGTACTTTCCTCTTTTTACCCTGCACTGGAATGGAGGCCCCTGAGAACTGAATGCAGCTCTCAGGCTTAAAGAATATTAGCACCCCTTTTCTTGTCCCTAGCCTGGGACCTCTTACAACAGCCAATCCCTGGCAGCAGCATCTTTACCATGTCCTGATTCAGTCTAGACAATGCTGCAGCATGGCTCAATTAGCTTTTGAGAATCCTGAGTGCTCGAGTGACCTCTTCAGTATTTCCATAGCACCCCAACCCACCCACATCCCAGGTCTCATCCTCTTTCTGGAGAAAGGAAGGACCATTGCCTTGTGTTTGCTCACCCGGAAATCACCCTTCCATGCTGTTCCCAGTCTTGCATATTGTGTGCTTGCTAAGACTGTGACCGAATCTCAGAGTCTAAGAGCTCAACTACAAGAACTATTCTGCTGTAAGGCACTCTTCCCACCTGGCCTTTGGAAGTCCTTCCTTGACGTTGGTTCTTGTATCTCTGAACCCTGGAACTAAAGGTGATTCTCAAAGAGGTCTTGCTGGGATAGATGTGGCCTGATTGACTGGAACTCCTGGCTTCAGGGGCCCTTTTCTGCTCTCCCAAACCAGTGATCTCTGCTCAGCAAGCTTTGTCATGACCAAGGAAATCCTCCTCTGATTTACCCTGGGGTTAAGACCTTTGCTCCATCTCTTTAATGTGATACTCAGATAGGAAAAGTATAACTCTCTTTGAATTTCTCTGTTGTGGCCAGCTTTTCAGCATCCCTTTCTTGGGCAGCCTCCTTTGGCTTGCTGTCACTCCCCATCTCCAAATATCACAACTCTACTCCTCCTTTCTTTAGGACACTTTAACAGCTTATCTGTAAATTACCTTTTGTTTGACCTTCTTAATACAAGTTCCTTTTCAGGAAAAGCTGTTTCTCTTTCCTTTATGTGTATCCACCTTGGTTTATGTTCTAGAAGGCTTTATTCCTTCATTACAGAAAAGTAAGTTTCAGGCATAGAGGGAGATATGAGATGACATGAGATGTGAGTAACAAGGCACTTACTACAGCATAATGCCAAGTACAAAAGTGTTGTAGGTGGTGTTTCTGTCTCAGTAGAGTTGAAGAGCCCTTAGGAAGCTCTGTAGGTGGCCATATTCTGCCATACTTCCATGACAATCTCATTTGAAGCAAGTCTGGTTGCGGATTAAAGCATATTTTGCTATTGCACTGTTACTAAGCAACGTCTATTGTACAGGGCAGATTTAGGCTGCATATTGGGACAAAGCTGCATTCATGATCCTCAGGCTTCTATATGCGAAAGGTCAGGAAAGAACCTTGTAGTGGACCCATTCCCTTCTAGGCTAGATAAAATGAGTGTTAGGGACCAAGAACATACTAGTCAATGGGTCATCTCTCTCACGCATATCACAATCCCACTTGACACATGGTTTAATTAGACATGGAAGAAAATATTATAGTTTTCTTAAATTACATTTCTACATTTCTGGAATTCAAATTGCACCATGGCTTATACTGAAACTTTTCTATCATTCCCCGACCCAAATACTTTCTATTTTGCTTCTCCTGCTTTGGCAGCGGTGGCAGCTGCTGCTTCGTCATCTTCTTTGTCTTCCCTTCTTCTTCGTTGTCTTCAGCTGCTGCTGGTGGTGGTGCTCCTCCTCCTCCTTTTACATGCCTAGTCTGAAGAACAATCTTATAAAACTTTCTTAATATTTTGTAACTTCCTGATGGTTTTAGTAAAGGTATTATCCTTTGGGTGTTTTGTTTGCTTTTATTCTTATAGACAAAATGGCTGTAGGCATTTATATAAATGCAGGAATTCACTTTAAAGCTTGATTGTTCTGACCATTTTCATTGTAAAGTCATGAATGGCCTGTTATGGTTTTATATCACAAGCCTGGGACTTTGAGCTAAATATGAATCTGTAACATGAGTCCCTCCTTCTGTAAACCCCTCTCTGAACATGCTGGAATGATATAACCTAAATATCTCTTGAAAGCATTTGCTTGGAATAACAGGTTGCATCTGGCCGCCTTCCTTTATCATTGGTTGTCATGCACCAAGTGCCTCTGGTGGCTAGATGGAAATAATTTTCACCTTCTTTGATTCATCCACTTCCCTAGTTAGTGTATTACTTGAGACTGATTGCAGAAAGGCCTTGTCTGTCT